GAGTAAGCCTCTGGGCCTGTGATCAGAAGGTCGCCCGTTTACGCCCAGCCACGGTAGAGTAAGCCTCTGGGCCTGTGATCAGAAGGTCGCCGGTTTATTCCCAGCCTCAGCAGAACAGTCACATGTCTTTGGGCCCTTGAGCAAAGCCCTTAACTCCCAGCTGGACAGGAAGCAGCATCAGGCTCATGCTGGCAGAGACACATGCATCATGCCTGGTGCCACTTTGCAGCAGATGCTGAACAAGACCCTTTATCTTAACTGGCACTGGACATTTTATTTGCTAAACTAAGGTTTACTTTACTCATAAAAATGATAAATTTACCAACAAAGTGAGTGCAAAAATGCTGCCTTAATTAAACTGAGTAAATCCTATAGGGTGGTACTGTGAAAATAGGTAGACTTTAGCTTAATTTATTTTAAAAACATTATATTTTATTTCCAAAAAGTAGGCAAATTTAACTAAAAAAACATCAGGTTAAATGGTAAGACCTTACTTAACAGGGCACAAATAATACAGTATGACCTGTGTACTAATTAACCACAGACTAAATAAAAAGAAAACATCCATTGTTGTGATAACCTGGCCAGTCAGTAGATTCAGGCTCTCAGCTGACTTCACTTTATTGCTGCATAACGTTGCTGAGCTATAAAACTGATCCAGTCATTGGCTTTTAAGTATTTGCTGATCTAAATTCAAATGGCGACTTTTTTTGGTCGGACAGTGTAGAACACAGACAGAATACAGACAGAACATCTGTTTAAATTCTCAAAGCCAACTGCATTTGACAAGTTAAAAAAAATATGCATTCATTATAAAGCTTCTTTTCTCATAGCTTGTATGTGTCTCTGTGCCATTTGACTTAGAGTCTGAGTGTTTTAAACAGTGTTTGTTTAAATGCACATTTACCTTTGATCTGTAGGAAAAGGTCCCTCTCGGAAGTTGATTGGTGGAACCATTGACCAGTCACTCTTCAGGGAAACACAGCTGGGTACAGGGGAGTCTGCTCTCTTCATCAGGACACTGTGGGCAGTGAGAGGAAACAAACCCTCATGGTATAAATATAATTCATACAATGGGGACGGCATCACACTGCTGTTTACCCTTCTGCTCTGCCTTCATGTACTTTGATAGGCTGTGAAGCTCTTGATGTAAACAGACTTATTTACAGTCAGTTATAATGTGAAATAAATTGTATCACCTATAATTTTCATTATTGTAGGAAAGGTTTAGTATCATTGTTAAAAGCCACATTATTAGATGGGTCTTTGGTAGTTTTTTCCTGTTTATATATTTGTTTGCTTGTTTATTTTTTGTTATGTGGCCATTTTGGATTGGAGGGATGATCTGTTGATTGCCTCTAGTATAAAAGAACTGGCCGATTGTGGAAGAAAAAGGCGAAGAAAGAAGATGGCGAAGTCTTTTTTATTAACCTACACATATTAAAGTGCTGCCCTAGCTAGGAGCCCAGTTTACTTTTATGTTATGGCCTGACTATAGACCCAGAGAGACATGCATGCTAGTGGCTGTAACACTGTTACCTCTCAGTGCTTTTTCTGTTACACTCCACAGGGGGGCGCATTTCAGAATCAGTTCCATCCATTTTTGTGCTGATCCAGACCAGATGATTCCTGCTGGGGCCTCTGTGAACATGAAGAGTAAATAGATACATACATAAACAATATCTAGTACCCAGCACTTTTACACCGAATCAATGCACTGGATCTCCACTCTGTTACTCTGACACATTTCATGTCCGCGCTTCAGACTGACTTTCTCCACTATTCCTGAGAAAGTTATTGAAAATTTTAGGAGCACCAGCACAAAATTCAGGCTCAGCACTTAGATCGACATGCAATGCAACACATCTAAACTGTATTACTGATAAATGCTTTGGAAATAAATATACAATTTACAGAAATAACAAAGTGACGTTTTACTTTAAAGGAGAAAGACAAAAAAGTGAAGTAGTGCTTAAATCAATGGCACCGCCGTTGTATCTAATTGTGTTATACATTTTAATTTTATTATTAGTTGTTTCTGTTAACTATAATTTTACCTTGCAATAAAAATATCTTTATTTTTTTGCAGAATCTTATTCGTGCCTTGACAGAATGGCGATTCCAGCTTTAAATCACTTTCACTTTCATTTACAGACAGGAAATGATCCGTTTTTCGTAAAACATGGAAGCGGTCTGAGCAGAAAAGGACGCGGACTCATTGGCACGGCGGACCGTTTTTGGGGATTTTAACCATGTGACTTAATAATAAACGATAAGCGAAACGGGACAAGCTCCCGCCGTCACCTAATTCTGTCATAACGAACATTCTGCATTATATTTGTGCATATAAAACGCGGTAGTGCAGTGACACTTTAACCACGATTAAATCACGATGCACTTTGCGGCTGCTTTACACTGATGTTTCCGTTATTTTTCTCCTGTGCGCTGATCGAATTACAGGGCACTTTTTAAATTCTCTATTACGAATTAGTGCAAAAGCATCGTGGCACATTTTGCCCTTTGCATAGTGAATCCCAGCTGTTTCTGGTCACATTAATTGTTCCTCCAGGGACACGGCGATGTCACTTGAGACCTATGGCGTTATATGTGTGCCTCATTCCTGAGCTCATAGTCGGACTTTCACAAGCAACATCGCCACATCCCCGCTCCGCGCGCTCAGCTCAGCCTGCACGCTCGCTCAGTAGTGGTGTGCGGATCGACACTGAAATATCGATACCTCGAGATACCAGATATTTATGTTCTAGAATCGATTCTCATATTAAAATATCCATATTTTAGTAATTTGTGGTAAATGTGTAGATTAACAAGAACACAGTGGAAAGACTATATACTATCAGGATCGTCTAAATCAGCGTTTCTCAAACTATGGTCCGCGGACTGGTGCCGGTCCGTGAGAGGGTTCCTGCCGGTCCGCAGAGCCTCGGTTCTGCACCAATCAAAATTCAGTCAGGTCAGGTCTGATCTCAGCACTGCTGTCACTTCGTCGTTTATGCAGGGCCCTGCAGCCCCAAAGCCTGACATGACTGGTCCCCTGGACAAATAAGTTTGAGAAAAGCTGGTCTAAATGATACCCAGTTGATAGGAAATATTTCTTCTTCTGTCTGTAATAGTGATATGCGA